TAACTACTGCAAGGCAGAGGACATTAGTGGCACTGCCCTGTTTGCCTGCCTCCAGTGTGGTGGAATCTGATTAATAAGTAAACCGTGAATGGATTACATTATGGCATAGCTGCATGTTATAAGTGGGGGTTAACTCCCTGGTATGGTCTCCATCAAGGAGATCAATTTCCTGGTTAGAAACTCTACACCCTGGAGGAATCCATGTGCTGAAGTACTCATGCATATTGCCCTGACAATCACATGATCGGTAACAATTATTCGGTATGAAGGAAGAGCTTCGAGAGAAATACAATTCTAGTGACTTTTTTGCTTTTCAGATCAAAGGTAAGACTAACAAACAAGTTAAACTCAGCCTCGTCAACAGTAAATATAGTCCAATTAATTTCCAATTGAATTTTCACTCTTAGATAAAAAAGAAAATGAATGGCTATTCTTATTATTTTGCATATCGATGGTTGAAAAAATATCTAAAAAGGATGGTATTTGGTTAATCAAATTCATTGGATGTGATCTTGAGCGAAATTTTCATTGACAAAGCAATCTCCTGTTGTGGTAATTGAAGTCAAATTAGGCAGCTTGAGAAGTAGTAATATTCAGCATTAGACCAACCAAATTCTCCAAGTTGTGAAACTAAACATGTTTAAAATAAGCAGCAACACCAATGCCAATACATATTTTCAGCTTCTTTTTTCTACTCCCCAGCACCCCTTTTGTTAAAATTTGGGAGTTTGGGCCATAAAAGCCTGCTATCCAAGGGCTAGTTCGATCCAACTACAACTAAATTAAGCCAATGACCAGCAGCCCAAACTGGGCTACTATTCCATAAGAAACAAAAAAACAAACAGCTACAAGGGATCATTTTGTTTAGCTAACGAAAAAATTGCATTGAATCACAAAATATAACAAACAAAGGGGCCAAACTCGAAATGTAAAGAATCTTCTCCATCGGCCACCTCGCCATTCCCCTCCCCTCTCTCTCTATATGACAGAAAAACTCATCTCTCTCTGGGAAAAACTCAGGTCTCCAAAGGATGGCTTTCCCTCAGCACCACTTTCAACAACACTACCAACCTCACCAACAGCATCAACAGCAATCAAAAAGTTTCAGGTAAACCCCAATAATAAATACCAAAACTTCAATCACTACGAACAAAAACAAAGCCCTAACCAGAAAATAATTTGTAATCTGTTTCTTTCTATGTTTGATTTCAGGAACTTATACGCAACCGACGATCAGATTTCGCCGGCACTTGCTTATTACAGTGCGCCTAATTTGCAAGATCAGTCTCAACATCCCCCTTATATCCCTCCTTGTAATCCCTCTCACTTCCTTTTCTTTTTTAATTTAATTTCTCGTTAGTTTCTATGCAATTGGTGAAGAATTATACGAGGATAAGTAAAAAAAAAATTAAAACTTTTTAGCGTCAAGTTAGCTTAAAATGATCACATTATATCTCTCTCTCTGGCTTTTACTTTTTAGGCATCAAAATTGGAACTTTGCTGTTTAATATTTCTGGGATTTCAATTTCATTTATAAAAAACAAGCTTATAGCAACTGGGTTTGTTGAATTTTTGTTGTTTTTTTTTTGTTTTAGTCCATGTTGTTGGGTTTGCGCCGGGTCCGGTGCCGGTGACAGATGGGAGTGATGGAGGAGCTGAGTTGCAATGGAATAATGGGGTTGAGCCTAAAAGGAAAAAATTGAAGGAACA